ACATGGGATGACAAAATGGCGCCGAATTGGACAAAGTTGTGGTTTCACCTTGTCGATGGTTAAACAGCTAGGATCTGCTTGAAACCTATTTAAAACTTCTTTAAAATGTGCTTGATACCATTCTGTCTGAGCTTCCGTGGATTTCAAGGATTTCAACGATATTGGCGATAAACAGCGGAGTAAAGTGGAGAATTTGGCCAAATACGTCCATTTGCAGGAGGTAGGTACATTTCAAATTATTATTTCGGTCACAAAGTATTAACTATTTTACAGCAAAGGAGTGATAATATACTTAAATAAGTACCAATTATGTTTCTATAAAAAAGATTTAGGAAATAAGGTAATGTAGGTCCACTGCTGTTTATCTGAATTTGTAAGTCACAAATTGACGTTTGACTATGAGTATTGCATGGTCATTTTCTTGTGAAATATCAGTGCTAGGCATTTCACACTTATCAATGACCACCCCTAAAAGCACCATCTCTGAACCATATAAGCACCTCAGAATAGCCAAAGCTTTTATGGTTTGGTAGATAGCACTATGGCGAGAGCGTCGTTTTTGGGTGTGGTCAGTTTCGGACGTTTCGCCCCGGATTGGGGTTCGGGCAGCGTTACCATGTCGACCGTCATGGTCAACTTGCCCTAAAACAGTTGAGATTATCTGTCCTAAATGAAATGCATACAAATTCATGCCCAACACTTAGTAATTTCATAAACAGGTTGATACCATTTTCCCAACTAATTCATGAAATTAAACCAAATATTATACCTCAAATTTCATTACTTCGGGTAATATTTCGCCGAATCCCCCTCGCTCCAAGTCTATAAATGATAAGTATTATCCATTTCTGCCATCTTTTGCTTCACGTTTTGGACTAGAGTTCCTCTACTCCAGATATATATGGAGCTCGCTGGCTTAGGCCTAGTTCCAATGGCCCACAACTTAACTGGTGTTTTTTTTTATCATAGATGTAATGGATCTTCTTCAGACTTCGTTTGTCCTTGTTATCCAATTATTCCTGATGCGGATGCTGCTTGTATCAGAATTACCAGATCCGCTGCTGTTTGTCAGAAACATGGCTATCCCAAACCACGAGAACAAATCAACGTTAACACTGCATTTATCGATGCATCCCAAATTTATGGCTCCACAAAGAGAGTTGCTGATTCACTCAGACAAACGAAACCAGGTATAGGCATATTCCTATTAATCCTTAATGTAATATGGCAGAGACTTTTTCTAATACTGAAAGTGCTATTTCAACCCTTTTGCTGCCACAAGTTTAATAAACGGTCGAAAATTGTAGCCCAAATCTAATGCTAATGGTAGACTCAAGTATCTTCTAGCGATAGTTATAAATAATATAGAGGTGTTCGATCGGATTCGTTCGGATTTTGGAACAAAAATATTCATTTCGGATTGTATCGGATTGATAAAGTCGAGGATAAAGTTGTTTCGTAGTTGTCCACGACAACGCGGTTGTCGCTGCATTATTCGTTTGATACTTCAATTGGACATCACTTTGTCAGCTTCTTGACATGTATTTCTTGCTTTTATATTTATTTGGTTAAATATTTCCACTTGAATGAGAAATTTATTTTGTTAAAGGTTCTAAACTCGGATCGGATTAGATTCGGATTAGACAATTTTGGATCGGATTTTAAACATTAGCCAATTGTTGGATTATAAACGTCCAATCCGATCCGATGCACACCTCTAATAAATAACATTCCTGTAATTACTCTTATGCAGAGCTGCTTAATTCATATACGTTGGCCACGGAATCAAAGGCTATAGTTTCCTTGATAACAGGACGAGATTCTTCGGTTAATCGACGCTGGTATATAGACAGTCAATTAATATTATATTCCCTTGTATTTTTGTGGCGATACATTTTCTGTCACTGCCACTGGAGACTGATTTGAGCTGTTGATCGAAATGGTTATATGACCTCCTCGAATTACCGCGCCAGAAAACAAAACATTGCTTGTTGTTGTTCTTGGTGGTGGTGTTCGACTTCATGGTTCGGCTTGTGTTGGCAAATACTCGAAGTGGATCGAGGACCTTTCCAAGTCGCCAAAATCGCTATAAAGCTCGAGATCGATATTTTCATTTCCTGGATTTGCTATACGGTTGAATAATTCGTGACGCTTTGCAAATTTTTATGCCCAAAAAGTTGAACTATTTCCGTTGGCCGTCGTTGTTGGTCAGAGTTTGCATCATCGTTGTTGTCTTGTTGAATTTTAATGCCGGCCGCCAGTGGTGGGAAAAGTCAATACGCGTTTCAATCTTCACTAGTAACGAATACCATAAGTCCAACGAGAAAACCAATACGGCGTTCTGCACTAATGGCGAATGTCGTATGTCTAATGAGATCCTCAGAAATTTTAGGCATTTGGCTTTTATTTCATTGCTTTATTGCGTATAAAAATCAATCCTCATGTAATATATGTATATTATACATACACCGATACAGGCGTTCCAAACATGTCAATATGCTCGAATATATGAACATTCATATTATAGTGTCCAGTGTATTAGTGTCCACATATTTTTTTCCCATTATTGCGCTAGTTTCTTCAGGGTAAAATGACCTAAATTTCTAACGTAACGTGTCATTTACAATTTTTAGAAGACCGTGGCCTTCTTAAATCATCACGAGGTTTAGATGGCGAGCTTCTTCCCTTGGATCCATCATTAGAAGCTGAAGAACAACTTTGCAATAACCTTGGTGGTTGTTTCGTCGCTGGGGATTCCAGATCAAATGAACAACAGTCCTTAGCAGCATTTCATTCACTCTTTCTGCGTGAACACAACCGTATTGCAAAAACTCTTAAGGACATAAACAATCATTGGAATGGAGAAAAAGTATACCAAGAAACACGAAGAATCATGGGTGCTGTAATGCAAAAGATAACATATCTTGATTTCCTACCTTTAGTACTTGGTCCGAACCCTCTACCACGATACAGAGGATATCGACGAGATGTGAGACCAGGAATTTCCGGTTCCTTTGCTACGAGTGCTTTTAGGTATGGACACAGTCTTATTCGACCAGCATTTGATATACTTGATACTGGCTTTAATCGAATTGGTAACCCAATTGGCCTTCGTTTTATGTTCTTCAACAACACATTCATTCAAAGGAACGGTATTAACCCACTTCTTCTTGGACTCATTGGTAATTTCTCTGAGAATGTGGACCGGATATTGTCTTCAGGAGTTACTCGACATCTGTTCGAACGAGAAAATTCTCCTGGCTTGAACCTTGCAGCTATAAATATTCAACGTTCAAGAGACCATGGTATTCCAGGATACAATCATTTCAGAAAGTTGTGCGGGTTAAAAAATGCCAAAACATTTGCAGACACTAAGAATGAGATAAGGGATCCTAAAAACATTCAGATTTTGAAACGACTTTACGACAATCCAGATATTGTTGATTTGTGGGTCGCTGGCTTGGCAGAAACTCCAGTAAACGGCGCAAGTGTTGGTCCGACCTTCCAATGTATAATTGGAGACCAATTTCGGCGAACAAGAGACGGTGATCGGTTTTACTTCGAACGGAAACGCGTCTGGAGGAGAGATCAGCTCGCAGAAATCAAGAAAGTGTCATTGTCTAGCATGTACTGCAACAATTTAAATGTGACCTCAATTCAGCCAAATGCATTTGTGGCACCAACAGACACAAAACCGAGAATTAATTGTGAGAGAATCCCTGATATAGATTTGTGCAAGTGGAAAGGTAACGGAATCCAAAATTTATTTATATTTGGTTACACCTGTTAAGTACGAAATTCTAATAATCAAGATTTGAATATAGCACGATATTAATCGTCCTGGATCGTGATAAATCTTTCACATTATACGCATATTAAAATCTGGGAGTGATTCCTATCGGGAAAGACGCAATTCCTGTGCTCCAATTTCGTTTCTTGGAATCGTATTTAAGCATATATTGCATTTCATGCATGTCCTCTTGAGAACACCATTTAAACAAGGCGCTGAAATATCCGTCATTGACGCGAAATATTAATTCACTGAATCATATTCGTAAAAGTTAATTTCATTGCAGGCTAAATAGAAGGCGCACAATTTTATAGGGTTCATTTTAAAAAGCGAAACGCTAAAAGTTTTCTTCTTTCCATTTTAGAAAATCCTTATTTCAGAAGACATCCATGCGTAAACGGCAAATTGGTTTCAAAAAACGGAAAATGCATATGCGAGTGTAAATCTCCCTGGTTTGGAAACAGATGTGAAAGTAAGTAAGGGTATTTGTTTCATGTACGCTAGCATGAGAAAGACATTTTCTACCTGCATCCCTCGTGCATTGTGCTACAGCTCATCTCTATCTCAACAAAACATGCACGCATAAGTTTATGGCTTTATAATGGTGAACAGAAAGGTGATTCTAAGATCATCCTTAGGTCTTAATACTGTTCTTGTGAAATTTGAAGCATGGATATACGTTATCATATTATTAATGTATTTTAAATTAACAACACATTAGTGTTAATCAATAACATTAATCTTTAACATTCATAAAAAAACATCACCACTAACAGGTGGGAAATTTGTCTTAGCATGCGCGAGAAAAAAGAGCCACGCAATTGCGTGGAATACACGCAACGCGTGTTTACAAAAAGGCGCAATTGTGTAAATATTGCCAAATGTTTGGTACAAAATAATTAAATAAATGATTGTTTTATGTTGAAAATGGACATGATCTAAATTTAATCATACCGAATTATTAGTGACGTTTTATTTCAGTACCCTGCCATTGTCCCTGGTGTGCTGTCCGTGTGCATTCGATTTGAAATCGTTGCTACTTTGCTGTCGAAACATTTAGAATGTTCACATGAAAATAGAAGCAAGTCAATGCATTTATAACCTTGTAAACTGTATGAGCCCCTATTTTTACGCTTATAGCCTACCTAAGATATCAAATAAAAATACATGAAAGTGATAAAACAGAGAACATTTTTAGAATGTTTTATCGTGAGGCCACGGCCAGTTTTTAAAATATCTCCATTTCTTTTCCAGTTATCACCAAAATTACACTGAAGCCGGGCTTGAATATCCAACAAATTTTGAATCTCATCAACTACAAAAATATTCAACGTGTAACCAAAATATGCTCATGAAATCGAAATTAAGAGCTAAATTTTTAAAATAGATCCTTCTCGAGGCGGTTTTCATGAAGGAAGTTGACCTTTCGGCCTTTGATTCTTGGCAAAAATTTGACCACAACATGTGCGAAGCAACTGGGTCTCAAAGTGTTATTGTGAGCCCCTATTTTCCAGGCGACATGTTTGATACCTTCAAACGCCGAAACGTTTTTTCTTTTCATTTAGCTGTATTTGAAATTGAAGCCACGGGCTATTTTTAAAAAATACAGTTCAGAGTCAAGCTATATTTTCTTATTTTCAAAATTCGTCATATTCCGCGAGCTTGTATTTTGAAGTTACATTAAGAAAGATAGGATGGAAAATTTGAGGCATATAAAATCAATTTCAACTTACATTTCCTTCTCATATCACGTTTTTCTTCGTTTATTGTGGTTTTAAGCAAGCCACATGCAGCTCGCCGTATACGGTATTTGTTCCCATGTTCACCTCGCCATATTCACTTCTTCCAATCACCCGATTACAAAAAAATCATCCCAGAACAAAGAATTCATGATCGTTAATTCTAAATCGTTTGAATGGAAAGCAAAAATCGTCAGCTGAAACAGCTTCTTGCTACTGAACATTCTGCATGCTTTGTTTTGAATATAAAATCAATGGAGCTTTGTTTCTGCTCGCGATTTTTGATCAGCGACGACAAATTTCCCACCTGTTATCACCACTACTAATCTACTATTTCTCAATCTATAACAATCGATTACAGCTGATATTTCTTCCTTGTCTTTTATTCAACGCACTTGCATATAAACCAGACACTTACGACTGATATATAGCTGCTAAAAACGTTTTTATATATACATAAAAAAATATTTGCTAATAATAGCTCACAATTAGCTTTTCTCACGGTCTAAATCCTCCATTTTTGGGTGCTACTTTGCAAACAACATGAAAAATCTAAACGATGTGAAAATAATTTTTCAAATATTTAACTGTAAACGGATTTATAATTAATGCACTTACAACTACATTATGGGTACAGAAAGTTTCATTTTCACTGCTCACTATCCCTGTTCTAGAAAAGGTTGCCACTCAAAAATGGCAGCGTGAGAAATGCTAATTAACAACAGTTAACATTTCAACAGAATTAAAAATGCTGTAAAGTCCGGTCTGCGCATACGTTCTGTGCAGGCCTATACATTCCAACGGTCGGGACACGACCATTGGAATGTTATTAATATTTCGCACCTTCCGAACTTTCTTGAATTCTTCATTTACAAGAGTGTAAAATTTCAGTATAATATATATCTAATCATATTTTACAACTGTAGCACTGAGTTTAAAATTACATTACGGACTTTACAGCATCTTTAATTATTAAAAAATCAGTTAGTTAACTAATAATAGTTAACATTATACAATAACAAAAATACAAGACTATGTACACTATTAACGTTTAACAACACTATCTATACACAATATTAACGTTTGTTAACAAAGTTAATTAACAACATTAATTAACATTAAAAACATTAATTAACATCTGTACTGCTTGTAACTAACATGTCTAACATTGAACCTAAATAACAACAAAATGTAATTTCTCCGCGACTCTTGTTTAGGTAGACCAAGAACTAAAGTTTCATGGCTTGCAACCATTCTCAACTCCAAAAAAGAGATCGTTTGTTCTGGAGCGCTAATAAGACCAAATCACGATGTATTAACAACTGCAAGTTGCGCTAAAGCTGCATCCAAAAATGGCTACGTCCAGTTGGGGGATTACAGAAAAGTGGCGACAATTGCCATAAAGTCCATCAAAAAAGTGAATCAGGATTTCTCAATTATCATACTACCAAGGAAAATACACAAAAACGCGTATTTTATTGGAATCGCACGTGTTGTGTCAACACTACGGCCGACAGCTGTTACAGTCTGGGGAAGTGGACAATTTCCTGATTTTGTGTGGACTAAAGTAGCTCGTCGTCGGAATACAGTTTGCAAAAGAAAGTTTAATCCGCTCAACTCCAGGAAAGAGTTTTGCACTCTACCAGCCGGGTTGCCTGCGATAACAAAAAGAAGTGGTAGTCCTCTGGTACAATACTACCTATATCAGCCGTACCTCGTAGGTCTCCTGACGGAAGTCGCCGACAGCTCTTCGTCTGGAGCACGATTTGGCAAGTATGTCAAAGTTACACACCTTCGATTCAGCAAACGCGGGAGATGGTGGTGATCTAACATAATCTCTTTTTCTAAACATTATGATCTAGATTTCGTTTTTCTGACGTACTATATTGTCTGCAAATTTTCAATTGTTCGTAAAGGGACCTCTAATAAGTATGTACGTCCGGAGTTCGGGTATTTTAATTCAAATAATTACGTTTTCGCTGCATATATTGTAGGTCTGAAGTAGCACAGCATGGTTGTTAAAACATTTTTGGACTATTAATTTGAATTTTTAATATTGTTAGGAACTTTACCTTTTAAATGTATTTGGTAACAGTATGAATAAAGATGTTGTTGTTATATTGTCATTGCTTTGGTGGGTGACAAAATAATATAACAATAATGCAGGCATGGCCATTGCTGGGACTTTGCCTCTGGGGGGGGGGAGGGGGCTGCGAGGTTAGATTTACCTGAATTTTTCCAACTTAACGTTTTTACCTGGTTTTGCGACCCCTGCCTGGCGCCACTATGGTTGGTGCTGAGCAAAACGTTTTGAAAATTTGAAGTTTCTAGACCGTTGGAAACGAGGTTCGAAATGGCATTCATAGAATCTTTCCTGTCCAATATTTCAATATTTTAGTATTGCCCAACAATGAAGATAAGTATTGTTACGTACAGTTCAATACGAGTATGTGACTAGGGAAATTGAGAACATTTTTGAAATTTGGAGTCTCCAGATCGTCAGAAAGGATATTTGGCTATGTTTCCCCCCCCCCTGCCCCGACGGGGTAGGTATTTTTCGAATTAAGCCCTTCGAGTTAAGCCCTTTTCGAATTAAGCCCTTCGAGTTAAGCCCCTGCCACGCCTTTTTTGCCTGGGGCTTAACTCGATGAACATAAGGTTGTTTTAGTACTTCGAGTTAAGCTCCGACATTTGGTAGATGTAAACAAGTGATCAAGTGTATACTCGCTAAAATATTCATAAATAAGGAGGGATATTTTACTAAGATCTCCGTTGCTTTGTCAACAGTTTTTATAGAGACAATGACATCGTGAAATGAGAGAACTCGATAAGGATTGGTAAAGAACAGCTTATTCAGGGCGCCAATTACGGCATTAAAAAAATAATATATAGCAGCACTTGCAGAACGCAAATCTTAGGCATGTTCATATGGAGGCGAGCTAAACCTCTTTGAAATTTGAGAGAGAGTCTGCAGGCCTAGCTAATAAAAACGCGCCTGTGCGTTGCTTAGAACGACGCAGGGTTCCCATTGGTTGAAATTGAGTAGTTGGTTATTAACTGCCATAAAAAGTAATGCAATTTACACAATAATAGATTCAAGGTATCAACACAAAGTGCGGAAATCGAAAAATATCGTTCTATAGCGATAAAAAATGAATTAGACGAGTTGTATAGAAAACTACATTTTTGTTTAAAGTTAAAGGATAGGCAGTCAAAAGCTCTTAACAATATTCCAGACGGAAACGATGTTTTTGCTGTATAAGAGAGTTTGGCAAATACAACAAATATGTGAATTCACTTACTATTAATACTTCAGGGAATTTCAGGGTTGTTTCAAAGAAAGACAAGTGCTTCTAAAAGTTTTCGCTCAAATACAAAAGTATAAGTAATTTTATTTTCTGCCGGCGCCTTTGTTGGTTGCCAAACTCACTAATGACACTAATATTACCGACAGGCTATACGTGTATAATATATACGGCAAAAACTTAATATTCCAACTTTCGGTCTTTGTCGAGCAGAGAAAAAGAAAAGAACCCGCGCGCTATAGCTATCATCATTTATTCATTTGTCCTCTAATTAGTATTATAGAGGACTAAATGGAAGAAGCTAAGCCTAAGGACCTTGGTATGAGGGTCTTTTTGCGCCGTTAGTGACGAACCGAACATAGAGGACATAAGATTGGGGAAATTTCATTTGATATTTGGATCGGCCGAAAACGTTCCTGACAAGTGTTCAGTTGACGCTTTGAAACATTCAAGTTGTCACTTGCGTAATCGTTTGGTTGCTTTTGTTATAGACGAGTCTCACGTCATTGAGACGTGGACTGCATGAGAAAGGAAAATACAAATTCAAAATGCACATTTTATTTTTATGCATGTCCCGCATAATAATCTTTCAGACCATTCTGGACCTCTCTCACAAACAATCCCGATATTTTGCAAAAGAACTTCAAAACTATCTTGCCCTACTGTTGGCTTGAGCAATTTCACTATTGAAACGGACTTCCATGTATCTCCGTATGTTAGTTTTAAAGAAGCATTGCAACAACGGCAAAATTCGTTCACATGTTCGGCGTTTTTTTGCGTGTAAATGTTTTTGGAGATTCTTTCCAACTTGACGTTACAAACTTGTTGTAAACAATCATGCGTTGAAATCGAGATTTGCGTTTTGTTTCCATATATTCGCAGGCTATTACATAAGGCGTGTCTGTATTAATTTGTTAATTGTATTTTACATTTGATTGACAACACTATAAATAGTGATAGGCACAGACGTATTTTTATTGACTAAACCGGCAGGCTCTAATTCAATTCAAAGAGCCTGTTCGCAGGCTACGCCAATAGCCGATCGTAGAAAATAGTACGTAGAAAATTGCCTTATGTGTATACTATAAGAACAAAATATCGATAACTATGTGTGATGTTTCTAAGGGGGGATGGGGTGGAGGGTCTCCAAAGAAGCGTTCTAATGACGTTTCTCATGGACAAAATCGATATGTGAGGCTTCCCTAAAGATATATATCTTGAGCGTGACATCACACTGAATTGTTTTGTTAGAAAATGGTTTTACTAGCTAGAACTTCCTTCATCATTCTGAGAATATCCAAATGGTATATGTTGATTGTTACTAGTTTCCGTTGGTAATTAGCGGAAATATTTGTATCTGTTATCCATTTATAATATATGTATTCCTATTCTTCCTGTCTGTTCTCTCTCTGACGGGTTCTTGGCAAGTTGAAAACTATAAAACGAGTTTACATAATATTCTAGTCTAGATCTTGTCGTTGCCGAGTAAATCAGAGAGGTATAATGCCTACGATTTGCCTTCTGCATGTGCCGCTATATATTATTGATTTTTTGAAGCCATAATTGTCCCACTGAATGAGCTGTTGTTTGGAAACCCTTATTTAGTTCTCTTATTTCACAATGTCACTGTCTCTATAAACCTGTAGGCAATGCAACAGAGCTAGGCCATAGTAAAATATATTTCTTAAAATTGCTGAACTTTACATTCTCCCTCCTTATTTGCCAGTACGTTTGCGAGTATACACACGTCACTTGTTTACATCCACCAAATGTCGGAGCTTAACTCGAATGCTAAATCGTTAAATGACAGTTGAGTTAAGCCCCGGGGTTTAAATTAACTCGAAGTACTAAAACAATCTTAGGGCTTAACTCGAAAAATACCTGTTAAATAATAGTTCAATGTTCGATTGTTAAATCTTATTCTGATTCAGAGCATAGAGTTCACTTTTTTATGTTCTGAGAATTACCTGAATTTACCTGAAAATCCACCTGAAATTGCTCATGAGCAATTATACACCTCACACCTCCCGGTATAGCTACGGCCCTGAATGCAAGAACTAGTTAGTTAGGCATTTCATTTTAGTGCATATCTTCCCAATCTCCAACAGCGTGGTTGACCGCAATCCATTCAATGATATGGATAAATTATAAAACTCCCACTTTTTAAGAGTGAATGGCTACACAGATTGAAAGAACGTTCAACGCTTAACGAAAGAGTATTTTAAAACAGTGCACCGTTACTTTGTTTTCTATACTAATGAGCATTTTTCGAAAGTTGACCTCCCATCAACGTGTACCAACTGTAACTGTCTAGAAGCGTAGTTGCAACTACTGTGTTTAACACTTCTGTCGCAGTAAACGTGAATGAACACAGCAAGTGTCAATGTTAAATGAGGGGTCGAAATTTACACTATTCCAATTACATGCATTACTGAAAGATTTGATGCGGGATTAGATACGATGAGTCTCGTTAACGCAAATTCCTATTTATTTTTCCGTAACAATTTTAGTTTGCGATGTTTCTCTAACATTTTGTGACCATGTTTAACTTTTTAATCCTGTTACTACCGGTCTTCGTGACTCAAAAGAAAAATGAATTTTTTTAATAAGTCTGGCTTCTACTTCCAGGTCAACAAGTGTAAAACTAAAGGCTTATTAGGGTGCAATATAAGAGAATGTATTGAAACCGCGGTCTATAATTTGAAAGTGGTCAAAACAGCAAACAAATTACTCTCCCGTTGTTTTCGTGTCAGCTGTAATAGAAGTCTCTTACAGACGAATCCCTCCATAATTTTAGCCAAGTTGCATGTTAGGGAGATTACACGTAAGTCGCTTTCAATTGATTGTGATGGGGTCACTTCCAGTACTAGTATGGGAAATATAATTGAGGATTTAAGAAAATCTGAGTATTTCCTTCCCTAATGGACTGATTGTAAATATCCTGTATAACCGAAGAAAGTTCGGGAGAAAAATCCTCCTGTCTGGTACAACAGATTTGGCTACCTGTAGAGACGACAATGGTCGATAAACCTCTGCTTCAGAAACAAGGAACGCATTTGGGACATGCTGAGTTGAGCAAAAAGGCGATAACGGTGGAAACTGAAGTTCTCAGTAGTATGCTCTTAACATTTATCTTAACATTTCCATATTGTTACCAAGAAATTGATAATGCCACTCCTAATTGGGCAAAAAGGAAAACTTCACAGCTATGTTCCAGTACTGGTCTTATATATGTACAATAAAAGTTCACTATGTTTTTAGCGGGTAATTTAGATTGTTCAAGCGGAGCAAAGAAAAGGATACGTTTATTAGCTTTCTTGATGATTTCGGCAATGTTTCGACCACTTTGAATCGTCACTATATTGCTAGACCCATATAGGAATACTTTATACTTGGATAGGTAGTTAACTGTTCTTTACATTTGGAAACTTGGAGTTGGAATATATTCTGGGTTGACCATGTCTCAATTGCCGGAATTGCGCCTATTTGAATTATGCTGCTCTGGTCTTTTGCATGGGATTACTTCGGACACCGTAGTACGTATCGTGAGCATGTATCCAGGTTAATAACATGAATTAAAGTCCGCTAAATTCATGTAATTTATAAATGAACAGCCAGGGTCCTTACTTTGTCCCCTGTGGAACGCCAGAAAATTTCCCCCCATTCAGAGAGATTTCTCTCCCATTCAATTTTCCCCCATTAATTCATTCAGGTATTCTAAAACTGAAGGCAGTCCTTTCTTCATTGATCATGGCATCCAGCAACGCACGCAAATTTGAATGCGATTTTCTCGGCAAGTATTTATCTCCTCCCCTTTAAAAGAAAACACGCCTGTTGAAATCCTTAAAACATTTTTGGTAAGAGGGGGGAGGGTTGAATGCAGTCAAACATCGCACAAATCGTACATTTTGCCAACCACGGCCAAAGATCTTGTTATTTCATATATGTGGGGGAAAGAACTTGAATATCTTCTAGACGCCTCAAAATTCGCTCCAAGTAAGCGCTTTTTTATAGAAAGTTTTGTTTGATTAATACATGTAGAAATATTTATTTTGAATTTCTTAAATATCGGGTTTTTACTCCCACGCGCGTGCCCATGCACGATTTGCCCATGGATGGTCATGTATTAAAGGGGCGCCCATAGCCGGATACACGTGAGAAACACGCTGCTGGGAATCACACTACTTGACCTGTAAAATCGATTTCCGATGTTTCCAGATGCCTCGCTGTATGCCATAGACATTCAATTATTTTGATCGAGCGGAATTGTACAACTCTACAAGGAACGAATCCCAGGTCTTTGAAATGTATAGCTCAGTGTTGAAGCCTGCGATTTGCGGGCTGGGTGCTGGTTAACGCACACGTTTAATAACAGTAGAGAAAATAATAAAGGCTTGGAAACATCGACGAGTGCCGGAATACACTGAAAGCACAATATCAGTGTGTGTAAACAAAAAGGTCATAGATTTATTATGTTATCAGGTCCACTAGGGTCTGTTCTTTCATATCGTCCAGTTAAAACCTTCCAAACAGTTGCTAATAAGGATAACTTTGAACGTTTAGATCATATATATCTTATATATTAAACTAGATAGCGCATCTCTTTTAGTAAAATTGAAGCCAAGAATATTCCAGCGGTTACTCCCATTTGAATAGATGGCGGCCATGCTATAGATAGCTATAGAATTATATGGAAAATACTATGCTGTATTTCCTTGAAATGTTCAACAACATACTAGTTTAGTGCAAGGAAAAATGGAAAAGCATACAGTTGTCTTATAATTCTGTACTGTAGATTCTCTAACAATTTTTGCACGTACCGTTATACACTCCTTCTTACAGTACCCAGTGTTTAATATAAACAATCAATATTTTTTAATAAAATCAGTACTTAGCATATTTACAGTCTATAAACAGATTTAGAATGAATAAAATGGACATTCAATGTCCATTTGAGTATTGGCAGTTTGGCTAGTGTCCAAATGTGTAACCTAAACATGCAGTCGTTCTCGAGACCTCTGTTGAAATTAACAAGAAAATCAATGCAAAGTTTATATCGTTTCCAGATAACAACAATTTAGTGACATATAAGATTATATATATGTGAACCAAAGGGCAAAGGCAGAACCATAGATATCTCATATACACTAGATAGCGCATCTCGGAATACAAAACTGAAGCCAAAAATCTCAGCGGTTTCCCCCATGAAAATAGGCGGCGGCCATAGTGGTCGTTCCCACTCATCAATGAAATGCTATAGAAAATACTATACTTTTCGAGGCTTTTTTGCATTTCTGGATTAAAAATACCTTTTTGAGGTACGTTCGCCTTGAAATCGCAGCTTTTTTGGAAAAGCGTACAAGAAAAAAACATTAATTGGCGATGTTGTTGTCTTTGAATCGCATTTTAAAGCTAAAAATTTCGAATTACGATATTCTTTATATATTTGTTTTGAATCTGTGAATGATTCTCTGGTGAAGTATCTTCTAATCAATACATGTACTTATGGTTTCTGGCACCACTTTATGGAAATGGAAGTTGGTAAGTAACGTTTCTTTCGAGTCTGCACTTTCAGTTTGGGCAGTTTTCACTGTAAATCTTTAGTGAAATGTTTGAGACAGTCTGAGTCTGCACTTTCAGCTTGGGTAGTTTTCACTCTAAATCTTTAGTGAAATGTTTGAGACAGAGTTTGCACTTTCAGCTTGGGCAGTTTTCACTATAAATCTTTAGTAAAATTATGTTTGAGACAGAGTCTGCACTTTCAGCTTGGGCAGTTTCATAGTAAATTTTAGTAATATTTAGCTTTCTCTGATACATTCTGTGTAATCACTCACACTGGTGCTTAAAAGGTACAAGTTTATTTAATTTCTTTCTAATTTTTTGTCCAGATGAATTCTCAGTGGTCTTTTTTCCAAGATGGTAAATTTAACCTCACAGTAACTCTTGATGATGCTCTTGGTCAACTGAAATATAACATGATTTTCACCAACTGGTGAGTCAAAAATATGGTGATCTAGCTCAGTAAAAAGATTGTATATGGACAATGAAGCCAGAACATATGGACAATGAACAATGAAGCCAGAACAGAAGTGGTCAGAACATATAAGTGTCTGCTTTTTGAGAACAGAACAGTATGGACAATGCAACCAGAACAAAAGTGGTCAGAACATATAAACATCTGCTTTTTGGGTGACCACTTTTCTTGATGAACATTTTGTATCAACTGTTTTCATAGTACTTCATCCTTAGGGATGTTTATCATGTTAATGCAGGTCTAATTTCAATCAATATAATAGTACACTGTAAAAAAATAAAAATAAATTGCTTACTGATGAAATGTCCTGGGAAGTTTTCTTTTGATTTTTGATTCTGTCACAATTGACCCTTCACTATTACTTCTTATACTTTTTGCATCAGGAATGACTTTACCCATTGCCAGTGGCGTAACGTTATATCAGGGGGCCGCCGGGTCAAAATTTTCGAAGGCCCCCCTAGTAGAAGTGCCAAATGCACGAGTTGAGCGCCGTATATGCACGAGTTTTCTAGGGGGTCCAGGGCATGCTCATCCGGAAAATTTTTGAATCTAGACTCTGAAATGCCATTTCCAGGACTTTGGTGAGATATTTTACAGAATTCTGATGGTCAGAAAACGACATTGTAACATATCAGAGGCCCAGGCCAAGGTTTTTGCTCTATCGCCTAAACCTGGGGCCCCCATTGGGGTTGGGGGCCCCCGGGTTCTCCCGGTCTGAGCCCATAGTAGTTATGCCACTGCCCATTGCTATGAAATTTTCTGAGTTTAATTCAAATTTTTAATTTCAATTGGCACCAAAAGTTCTTCAGGTCTCCAATTTTTTTTAAAATTGGACATTTTTTTTAATGATATTTACAGTAACCACTAAACTCAAAAGGCAAAAATTGAGAGTTTATCATGTTTTCAATTCCTGAGAGTACTGGCAAATTTATTTTATTTTTTTAGAAAAGTTTAATTATTGTGCATCTGATGAGTCAAAGAATTAGAAAACACTATTACACAAAGTCAAAAGTAATACTTTATTATAACAATAGAATTATTTATACAATAGTGAGTGCAACTATATTTAAGATTATAAAATCTACTGTGCATCAAGCAGTTTATCCCATTGACTTTACAATATACAATAATGCAAGAAGTAATGTGTCTCATTACAAAATAGGGTTTCCAAAAGCAGTTCTAAAATTCAACTGATTATCAATGACCTATGCTGTTAATAATTACAGTAATTTGGCAGTTTGATTGCTTGAATTAGAAACAAAAGGTCTAGGACTCAACAGAAAGAAATATTTCTTAACATCAAATATTAAAGATAGTTTGAAGCATTCATACAATTGAAGGTTTTAGAAAGTTTGATCATCAACTACATTTACATAAAGCAATAGCAATTATGTTATATTGCCTGCGAATATATTAAGTTGCAATTATTCTTCTCTAGCTTCTAATACATTTTAATCTTGATGTGATTCCATGGAACTATAAAATAATATATGATATGTTGTATGTATGTATGTAATAAATATACAAATAGTAAGGAGTAAGAACCATTTTTGGTGTCAATGTTTTATATATTGACTATTTAAGATTTTAAGTCTATTTTTGCCATTGATAAACTGTGACTAAAATGTTTTTCAGTGTCGCTGTCTTTTACAAAAGAATATGCAAATACATTCACAATTTTGCCATGAAGCAATGGCGATAGCTCAAAATGTTTTATTTGGAATTGGTGGAACTATATTTATATATACATCAACAATGATGGTTTGTCCATAAGGTTTGTCCTATGGGCGCCCTTCATACGGGTCGACAAATATTGATATTTTTGAAAAAAAAAATAAAATTCTGCCTACCCGTTATTCACAATATGAAGCTCCAACGATCTGGCATCATTTACAACAAGTTGCACACTTGAAAAACCAAAATTGACTGCATAAAAGAGGATTTAATGTCAACTTTGTCCATTTCCGCAATACAAAATATACAAATTATCACGCTCCGTGGGAACGACCAATATGGCCGCCGCACGTAAACTGCGACTGCGATCAGGCTTCAATTTTCGCCTGCCTACAGGGTGGGATGCGCTATCTGGTGTATATGAGATATCTAT